TCAGCCTGGATCACGAAAGGGGCATCCATGTCTGGGTGTTTCAGCACTGGTTCTGCAGCAAATAATCTTTTTAGCTTCTCAAAAGCGGCTTGGCACTCCATGAACCAATTCAATGGCTGGCTGGGGTTTGGCTTCATTTCCCCCTTTGTCTTTAGTAGGTTGGTGATGGGAATGTCTATTTTAGCAAAAGACGGGATGAATTGCCAGTAAAAGTTAGCAAATCCAAGGAAACTTTGAAGCTGTTTACGGGTTCTTGGTGGGGCCCAGTCCAATACAGCTCACACCTTCTCTGGGTCCATCTCAATGCCCTCGGGTGAGATGCAATATCCCAGGTAGTCAATTTTTTCTTGTTGGAACTCACATTTGGACAATTTGGCATACAATTTGGCAGCCCGCAGTTTGTGCAGCATGGAGCATACCAGTTTCACATGTTCATCTCTAGTCTCCGTGTAGATGAGGATATCATCAAGGTAGACCAAAAACCCCTTCTATAAATGTTCGTGGAGCGCTTGATTGATCATTTGCATGAAAACGGCTGGTGCCCCCTGTAGGCCGAAAGGGCGAACATTGAACTGGAAACAACCCATCGGGCAGTTGAACATAGTTTTCCACTTGTCTCCCTCTTTAATTCGGATTCGGTAGTATGCCTCCCTCAAGTCCAACTTCGTGAAAATCTTCCCCTTGGCCAGGTGGGCTAGCATGTCCTTCATCAGAGGGAGGGGTTACATGTTCTCCACGGACACCGTGTTCAGGTTTCGGTAGTCAACCACCAAGCGTTTGGAGCCATCTTTCTTCTCGTGGAACAACACAGGGGCCGCCACTCGAGGTCTGGCGGGTTGGATGAAACCATGTTTCAAGTTCTTGTTGATAAACGATCTCAATTCCTCCAGCTCCCGTGGTGTCATCGAATACAGCTTCGGTTTTGAGAGCATCACCCCCGGTAGAATTTCAATGCTGCAATCGGTTGACCGATGAGGAGGGAGCTCATCAGAGGCCTCTTCACTAAACACCTCTCTTAAGTCTCAGTACTCTTTTGGGATTTTCTCCTCCCCCTCCACGTGCTCAGCACCTGCAGAAGCTGTCTCAGCAAGGCTCTGGAGCTTCGGATGGGATTTCTCCTTCCCTTCCATCGGGGATTGCTCCTCCCCTTCCGGAAGCCGATCGGTGCAGATCCGTATCCACCCCTCTCTCCAGTTCACATGGGGATTCCACTTCTGAAGCCAGGGCAATCCCAATATTAGAGGCTATTCCATCCCAGGGGCCACAATAAAACACAGGGTCTCGCAGTAGTTTCCCATGGTCATCTCTAGGGGTTCCATTATAAAACATGAAGGTCAACCTCCCGCCTCAGATCCATCCAGTTGGCAAAAGGATATGGGCGTTCTCAAAGTTCTCAGTCCGATGCCCATACCCTTGACTACTTTCATGTTAATTACACACCTTGTGCACCCCGAGTCCAATAAGACCAGCATCTCCCCCTTGGTCCCTGAGGTGGGCACCCTTAACTTTATTGGGATGGTCATGGGCCCTTGGTTAGGACTTACTGGGACGTCATCTTCCGAGTCGGTCTCGCTCTCATCGGGGGGAGTCGGAGGTCCCAGCTCCTCTCCTGCTGGAGGGGTGACCTCTACAACCTCCCCTATCTTTAGCCCGGTTTCGCGAGGCTTGGTTGGGGAGGTTTCGGGCTTCCTCCCTGGCCCCCACACTCCCTTTGGATCCAGCTTGACCCGGCAATCCACAATCCGGTGGCCCTCCTTCCCACAACGAAAACAGGCAGTGGATTTGGCTCTCACCATCACCCCTCCCTTTTGGGGTTTAGGGGTCTCTCAGAGATGTGGGGGGAGCAGTTTGCTCCATGCGGGGCCTCCTCTGCGTCTGCTTCGGGCTAGATCTATTTCCACTTCTTCTGCTAGCAAGTACCACAACTGCAAATCATGTGGATCCCTTCTGGAGATGCACATGTGGTATATATCTTCATTTAAGCCATCTTTGTAGGCTTCTATAAGAGCCCCCTGGGACCAGCCTCGGATGTGGTATGCCAGCTGTCTGAACTCTTGGGTGTAGTCAGCAACCGATCTTCCCCCTTGAGTTATGGTTTTCATTCTGATCCTGGCCCTTCTCTCCGCCAGAGGGTCCTCAAACCTCCTCCTCAATGCAGTCATGAAAACATTGAGGCTCCGCAATTGGGGGGAGTTATCATTATACAAAGTCACCACCCAGTCTGCTGCCATCCCCTCCAGGGTTTTGGTAACACATCTTACTTTGGCTGCTTCAAAGGTAAACTCGCTTTCATATTCTGCCATATAGCTCCCGACTTGTACCAGGAAAAACCCCAAATCCTTGGGATTTCCTCCAAACTTCACATCTAAGGGGGGCAGGTGGTGTCTCCCAGGCATCACACCTATTTCTGGGGCTCCCCGGGCAGCAGCTGGCTGTTGTGCTGGCGTAGGCTGAGCTAGGGGGGGTGGGGCAGCCCAACTTCCCCAGGCTAAACTCGCTCCCCCTTCCCCGTCATACTTTGGAGCCATGCCAGGCTTCTCAGAAGCATCCATAAAGAATTTCCCAGATTGATCCAGCCTGCATTCTATCTCCTCCCCCTCTTGCCACTGCCATTCCCACACACCTCTTCGACTTACAGTGATCCCAGGGGGGGGCATCTTCTGGATCTCTCCATCCAACTCCTAATGACCATCTGGGCATCTCAGCTAGGGTTTCTTCCAGAGTAAGGTCAGCCAGCAGGTCGGCAGCTGGCATCTCTGGTCACAGCATTGGCTGCCCCTCCGCAGCTCCCTGGTCATCTTCATCACTGGCTGGAGATGACATGATGTGAAACCCCCTCGGAAGAAAAGTTGATGTTTTCTCCAGGTGGGCTGATGGGGAGATTCAGAATAATGTCAGTGTGTGCTCCCTTCAAAATCCAAGAAAGAAATATTCAGACTCCATGGGTTAGAGCAAAGTTATCCTTTTACTGGAAATCAAAGTGGAAGCTACAGATTTAATTCCGAATCTGAGGAATTGGTGTGCAGATCACATATACAAAGGAATGGAATTGTTCCCACCCCTCAAAGTCCAAATGACTCTTCCAATTAAAAGTTCTGAATATGATCATGTGGGCATCTTCAGGTGGTGATGAGGCCTCTGTCCGTTGACCTTGACATATTTTGATAAAAGTTCGCAGCTGCGCAGAGGGGATAGAAGCTAGCCAAGAAATGGAAAGTTAAAGACAAGAATTCATACACCCCCTCCCCTTGCTACCCACAGCAAAAGAATGCAAAACACCTCCAGCTCTTTTCCCCTCCAAGTTCCCCCTCCCTCCCCGTTGCTAATGACAGCTGAAAGAGATAGTATAGCATAGCAGCAGAGGAGATGCAATAGTTAGGATGCAGAAGATATAATATGTGGAAGATATCTTGAGGCTGACAGGTCCAATGTAAATATAGTATATAAGATCATACATTGTAATGTCCTACCTGCAAATGAATACTTCCGCTTCAATAATAACAATACAAGAGCCCACAAAATGTAAAGCCCACATAGGTAAAGACCTATGAGCATCTTTTACTGTTGTGTAGCAGTGGTCTAAAGTATTTTTGCCTCTGGTGGGACAATTTACATGCTGGAAATATTTTGGGAGCTCTTTCCTTAAATTTGTTAGATTGAAATCTCCTAAAAAGATGGAAAGGGAACCTGGGTGTTTGACTTCAGCCTCCATAATTTGATCAGCAAGAGTTTGTAGTGCCTTGTTTACACAGGCTTGTGGAGGAACATACACAGCTATTAGGAGAAATGAGGAGAACTCACATGGAGAGTAAAATGGCTTGCAGTTGATGTGTAAAGAATCTAGGTTTTCATCACAAAATTATATATTATAGTTATATCCTGAGACCAGCTGTTGTTGATATATAAACATAATCCTCCACTCTTTGTTTTACTTGATGTCTCTTCAATTCTGTCTGATCTAAATGTCTGAAATCCTGCGATGTGTATGGTGCTGTCCCCATGAATTTGTGGATTAATTCAGGTTTCAGTAAAACAAAGAACAGCTGAATTTTCATAATTTTCATAATAAGGTGTTCTGTCTCGCCTTTCCTCTTTCCTAAAAGGGGAAAGAGTACAAACTCACACAAACACAGGCAGGCAAGGTGGCTCGGACTTCACAGAATTAATTCTTTGGAACTGATAACATCCTTGGCATTCCAACATGCTCTGCCTGCCAAGTCTGAACTGATAACAAGTAAAAAGCTACTTACAGAAAATTACAAGGCAGACCACAAGAATCATTCACAAAGAAAACCTGAAGTAAGATCAAACTTTGTCCCGTACAAAGTTCCAGCTGACAACACACCCACTTTTATCCCCTGTGGGGTGTGGCTCAATGACTCAGCTCATTCTCTGACCCTCCCACGCCTCCTACGTTTCTGCTCGCGTTTCTCCCTACAATGCTGCTTAGGATCAAGCCAACATTCTTCCTCTTGACTCCCTGTCAGGGGCTGCTCCGATATGCCTTCCTCCTGATTAATTTCAGGCTGTTCCTCTCGGTTGTGTGATGAAACCTGAGGCATTATCAGGGAGGAAGGCATTGCCAGAGAGGAAGGTCCTGGGGAGGAAGGCATTGCCAGTTCTTCCTCCTCATCTTCCAAGTCCTCTTCCTCTAACAGCACAGGCTCGGGAATCGGAGCCACAACAATAAGGTATTTTCATAATAAGGTAATTAGCATTTTTTCTGAGATATATTTATAGATAGGAAATAAATACAGGAATCTGATATTGAAAAGAAAAGTATAATTCCATTTTTTGTATTTTCACAGGGTTTTTATGTGACTCAAAACATTTTAATGTCAGAGGTTGAGAGGAAAAAATAAAAATGTTAACATGTACTCTTCCAGGAAAACAAATATCAGTATTGTTTATTGATTCTGGTAATCCTGACAACTGCAAGAGTTCTAATTCAAAATTTACAGTACAACATTTTTGCTTTAATTATTTTGAGTCTTTGAGGATCAACCTTTATTTTGCCTATTACTATGAAATACATTCCTCAAAATATCTCTGACTTCTCTGTTTCTTAATGTATAGATGAAAGGATTCAGCAGTGGGACCACAATAAGGTTGAAGATGCTTACAACTTTGGTTTTTTCTAAAGAGGTCTCTTTAGAAGGTTTGACAAAAAGGAATATGGTGGAGCCATACCAAATGATCACAACAGCAAGGTGAGAAGAACATGTGGAAAAAGCTTTTTGTCGACCTTTGCTGGAAGGGATGCGTAGGATTGTGGAAATAATGTACATATAGGAAAGAAGGGTCATCAAACAGGAGCCTACAATGACAAAAATAGCTATGAAAAAAGCTGTTATCTCAATAAACTGAGTATCTGTACATGACAGTATGATCCAGGAATCAAGATTACAATAGAAATTATTGATCACATTAGGCCCACAGAAGGACAGTGTTGTAATCAGGTAGGCAGGTATACAAATAACAAGGAAACCCCCCAACCAACATCCACAGGCCAACCTACAAGATAGGCTGATATCCATTATAGTGCTGTAATGCAAAGGATAACATATGGCCAAATATCTGTCATAAGCCATTGTAGCTATCAGAAAATGTTCAGTGCATCCAAAAGAAAAAATGAAATACATCTGTAGAACACAGCCAGAGAAAGAGATACTTCTGTCTCTCCCGAGAAAAATTGCAAGGATCTTGGGGATAGAGGCTGTTGTGTACCATATTTCCAAGAAAGAAAGGTTGCAAAGGAAGAAATACATAGGCGTATGGAGGTGTCGATATGTTATTATGAGAAGCATGATGGAGAGATTCCCCAAAATGGTGAGGATGTACATTGTAAAAAATAGAATGAAGATGAAGAGTTGAAAACGCGGTGAACCTGGAAAACCAAGAAGAATGAATTCTGTCACCCTCGTGCTATTTAGCTGTCCATGGTTGAGCAATTCCATGTGTTTTCTTTATCCTGTGAAGGAAAACTCACAAAATTAATGCACATAATATTTCAGTGCAGTCTGTACTTATTAATGGTGCACTGCAACATTGTCTCCCCCCCCCCCATCTTGTTTCATACCTTTATGGCTTTTTTCCCCCTTTTCCCTTCCTTTCTTATCCCACCTAGCCTTTTTACCCCCCTCCTAACCTCTGCCTTTTTAGCTTCCCCTCTCTGTTGTATTCCTCTTTTCTTTTGCTTTCTAACATTGTATTGATTTTGCATCTTATTTTTCTCTTTCTTGGGTGTTTTTTTAGGTCTTAAGTCCTTCATTTTCCTTCCTTTCTTTCTCTTTTCTTTCTTAATCAAACTTTTTGATTCATTAAAGATTATTTCTTCTTCTTCTTCTTCTTCTTCTTCTTCTTCTTCTTCTTCTTCTT